AAAAAAAAAAAAAAAAAAGAATGATCTAGGTTGTGCACAGTGGCTCACACATGTAATCCTAGCACTTTGGAAGGTCAAGGTAGGAGAATTTTGAGCCCCAGAGTTTGAGACCAACCTGGGCAACATAACAAGACCTCATCTCTACCACCAAAAAAAATTAGCCAGGTATGGTGGCATGTGCCTGTAGTCCCAGCTACTTGGGAAGCTGAGGCGAAAGGATCACGTGAGCCCAGGAGGTCGAGGCTGCGGTGAACTGGGGTCACCACCACTGCACTCTAGCTTGGGTGACAGAGTGACACTCTGTCTCAAGAAAACCAGTTTTATCTTGAGTTAGTGGTAGAATGGTGCTTCAGAGTAAGAACAGTTCTAGAGGGAAGTTTGAGAATGCAGTCAGTGCCTGCATAGTTTTATTCCTTCGAGACATCCAAGAAGATCCAAGATACTCATTGAGAAAGTTGAACATGCAAACCTTGCATCTAGAGAAGGATTTTAGATTGGACATAAATGGGAGTTCTCCACCTACCCCCGGCCAGTATGTATATTTGTGTGTATCTAATATAAACCTGACAGCAGGTTATAGCTGCCTGTGGTGCTAAGCTCCAAAGGCACTAGTGGACGTGCTCACAAGGCCGCTCCCCCTCAGCAGCAGGCAGCTCTCCTTCTCTCCTCGGCTTCTGCTGTAGCCCCAGCCTCCCTGTCTGTGCGTCCTCCCAGAGGTGTCTTGCCACAGCCATGTCTACAGCCAGGTGATGGAGGAGGTCACTTTAGGGAAACAGTAGAGACACAGGAAAGAAGACATGCTGGCCTTGAGCTCTCAGGTCCTCTTGGCTGGCGCAGGAAAGCAGGTAGAAGAGGACCAGCCAAGGAGGCCAGGCGGGCAGTGTCAGAGGAAACCTTGAGTTTGCGGCAGGTGCTCCGGATGGGGCTTCAGTGTGTGGGAGGGAGCAGGTACACGTCGTGCTGCAAAGAAGTCCAGTGAAGATAGCGCTGGCAACGAGTGCACGGTATCTGGCGGAGAGTTGCTGGGTCACTGAGAGCCGGAAGTGTGGAGAGTGGTGGGGACAGAAGTTCGCTCTGCAAGGAGCAGAATTGGTGGAAGCCCGAGGAGGGACCACTTGTTGATGCATAAGGGGATGAGAACGCCCGAATTTAAATAGAACAGCAGAGCCCCAGTGAGGGCGTTCTGTCTGTTGTTTCCTAATGGTATATACAAGTTCCACATTTCTTTAAAAGAAGATGCATTAAGGCAGAGACGGGAGGTTTAATAGAAAGAAAGAAGTCTGGAGTCAGACTGGTGTGCATTCAATGCTGACTTCAGGGAAACTGGGACAAGCTGTGTTTCCTTATCTGCGAAATTACAATTGTAACACTTAACTCCGGCTCAAGGTGAGGACTAACTGCGATTACGTATGTGAAGTGCTCGGCATGTGCTTCCCATGGTGCAAGCAGTAGAGAGCGCTTACCAGCTCTTTGGAAGCAAGCACAGGTGCTTAAAATTGCAATATGCTGACAGACAGCATCGCTACAGCAATGGAAACTTAAAATAAGCACTGACAAGACATCATATTGCAAATGGGCCCTCCGTGTAAGCCTTGAGTCTGGCTACTGGGGAAGCTTGCTTGGGCTGATCTTCCATGCTTGTGACCTCCTCACACGCACCGTGCGCGCACACACCTACCACTCCCATCAACAGGGAGTTGAAGCCCATTTGCTTTGGAAAAACAAATATTTGTGTAAATTCTTGTGTGAAATGTGACCAGTGTTGTCTAAATGGAGACATGGAAGTTCCTCTGTAATAAACATGTTGCAGAAAACTGCCCTAATGCTGGGGCCGCTGATGGATGGTGCTGATATTATGACTGGTGTATTGTTTGCTTGGTCCAGAGCATTCAACAAATAAAGACATCCCAGATTCCTGATGGTGAAAACAGCCTAGTGTTGAAGCAGAATGAGGAGCGTGCACTAATAGATAGTGGATTTGATGATTGGCGACATTAGCCTTTGTGTGTGTTGGGACAGTGAAGAAAGCCTTTGGGTCAAGCTTGCTAGATTCCTGTTGAAAAGAAGGAGGTCAGCCGTGACCTGCTGATCCCACAGCTGTGTGCTCGCCAGCCCTGCCCTCCAGGTGGGTGCAGCTTTTTTCTCTGCTGGTGAACCTTTCCTTTTCTTCCTGTTAAACAACTGAGTGATAGGCTGGCCTCGTGCATCCTTTCCTCTGTTTCGAGATGGGATGGCATGCGTTCCTGCTCCAGAACAGTGACACACTGCAGCAGACACTCTTGCTGTGGTCCTGCCTGTGGTGTCCTTCGCAGTGTCTCTCTTCTCTCATAAATTTACCTTTCTTGGAAAAAAAAGAACAGTGACACCTCCCTCCCTATGGTCAGAGAGCCCGCAGGGAAGACGACTTCCTCATCAGCTGCTCTTCCTTTATTGCCAGAATGTGTGGAATTATTTCATTTATTCATCTGCTTAGCATCACACCTTCATAAAACGGTTGTTATCACTCATACTTTATTTCTGAGTTTCTTTTTTTTTTGAGTTGGAGTCTCACTCTGTTGCCCAGACTGGAGTGCAGTGGCCGCTCCCGGCCACCGCAGCCTCCACCTGCTGGGCTCCGGCGAGCCTTCCGCCTCAGCCTTCCAAGGAGCTGGAACTACAGGCGCGTGCTACCATATCCGGCTAATTTTTGATTTATTGTGGAGATGAGGTCTCGCCAAGTTGCCCAGGCAGGTCTCGAACCCGCGGGCTCAGGCAATTCACTCACCTCAGCCTCCCAAGGCACTGGATTACAGGTTGAGCCACCAAGTCCGGCTTATTTCTGAGTTATTTCTTTGCATCTTTATGTTGTAGAAAAGTTGGAATTACTCCTTTTCAGTGATATAAGTATTTTATTGTGATGTGAAAGATACTGTGAGTGTGAAGTATCTTTGTTTTTAATAAAGTGAGCTTATACTTGATGCCATTAGCCCATTCCTTAGGGTTGTTCTTACCTGTGCTCTTTCAATAAATTAAAGTCATCTCTTAATCATTAGTTCTGTGTTCATGAGTCTTACATAAGCCCTTTAATCTCAGTTACTCTCCTTTTGACTCCACTTGTTTCCTTTCTAAAACAGTTCTTGGCGGTCCCAGTGATATCGGAGGTCATTTGACACTCTTTCTTTTCAGCCCTGGCTCACTACTGCTAATTCTATCAATTGAAATCCAGTCCTTTTATATCCTTTGCCATTCTTCCTGTCCACATTTTGACTTATCATGAAGGGTAAAATAGTATCCAGGCCCATGGAATTCAGCCTAGTGTTTATTGTTCTGTAGTGTGTACACAGATCTGGAAACTAGAACTTGACTGAAAGGAATCTAGGAGAATCTATCTTATTCTCTCACCTTTTAAAAAGCCTTGTTGATATATAATTCACATACCATACAATTTATCGGTTTAAGGTGTGCAATTTCATGGCTTTTATTGTATTTACAGATTTGTGCCATTATAACATAATCTAATATTAGGACTTCCTGTGACCTCAGCAAGAAACCCATACCGGCTCTCTGCTAACTCCCCATTCTCCCAGTTCCTGGCAGCCACCGGTCTGCTTTTTATCTCTGCAGACTTACTTGTTCTGGCCTTTTCACATAAGCAGAGTCATGTATTTATTTTGGGACTGGCTTCTTTCACCTAGCATAATGTTTTTAAGATTTGTCCATGTTGTGACATGTATCAGTATTTCATTTTTTATGGATGAACAATAACCCATTGTATGGATATACCATATTTTCTCTTTTGAGTTGATGCACACCTGGGTTGTTTCCACTTTTTGACTAATAAGAATATTGCTACAGTGAACATCTGTGTACAAGTTTTTTGTGTGGACATAGGTTTTCAGTTCTCTTGGGTATATACTTAGGCGTAGAATTGCTGAGTCGTAAGGTAAGTCTGTGCTTGATTCTTTGAGGAACTACCCGGCAGTCTTCCAAAGGGGCTACACCATTTCACATTCTCACCACCAATGGGTAAAGATTCCAGTATCTCCACCTCCTTGCCCAAATTTATTTTTGTTACCTTTTTTATTACAGCCATCCAAGGGGGTATGACATAGGCATCTCATTGTGGCTTTGATTTTCTTTCCTGATGCAGAGCATCTCTTCATGTGACACTGGTTGTTTATGTATCTCCTTTGGGGAATTATCCTTTACCAATTTTTTAACTGGGGTTTTTATTGACAGATTGTAAGAATTCTGAATATATTCTATATAAAAATCCTTTAGCATTTGAAAATAATTGTTTCACTTTTTTTGGTAGTATCCTTTGAAACACAAAGATTTATGATTTTGACAGCTGTCCATTTTATCTTTGTTATTATTGTTGCTTGTGCTGTCGCTGTTGCATCTAAGAAACCATTGCCCCTGCCGGGCTTGGTCACTCAACCTGTAACCCCAGCACTTTGGGAGGCCAAGGCAAGTGGATTGCCTGAGTTCGTGGATTTGAGACAGGCCTGGGCAACTTGGCCAGACCTTGTCTCTACAATAAAATATTTTTAAAGAACTAGCTGGGCATGGTAGCACACGCCTGTAGTTCCTGCTACTTGGAAGGATCACCAGAGCCCAGCAGGTTGACGCTGGGATGGCCATGAGCATGCTACTGCACTCCAACCTGGGCAACAGAATGAAACTTCATCTAAAGAAAAAAAAGAAAAGAAACCACTGCCTAATCCAAGGTTATAAAAACTTACTTCTGTGTTTTTTCTAAGAATTGTATCGTTTTTGCTCTTACATTTAGGTCTGTGATGTATTTTGAGTTAATTGTACATGACCCAACATTGGGGGTTGGACCCTCCTTGTGGGTAAGGATTATGCTTAATAGTAGTATAGTAATATTATTTCGGTTAAACGGAGATCTTTTGGCATTTGTAACTGTTTGCTTTGTATTGTGTCTTCGTGGCAGAAAATTGATCAATTTTTTTACACTTTTCTCTATTTTTAAAGCTTTCGTCATTTTCTTGGTCTAGTGTCAGATTATAGCTCTCTGAACTTTTCAGCATTTCAGAGTAAAATGAGAGGTGTAGATAATTTGAAAGCAGTATGTTCATGCTCTTTCAACACTCTATAATACCAGCCTACATCATTTGATCCATATTCTAATTTATAGCTGTACACCTTGAATAGCACTCTCAGTGAATGTGTAGATATCATGAAAATGGTAGTGGAAGTTCACATATTCTTTGTGTGTGTGTGTGACAGAGACAGGGGTCTCGCTGTGTTGCCCAGGCTGGTCTCAAATTCCTGACCTCAAGTAGTCCTCCCACCTCAGACTCGCAATGTGCTGGGATTCAGGTGTGAGCCACCATACCTGGCCCATATTCTTTTTTAATAAACCAGTGATAGACTTAAAGGAAAAAACGAAAAGGAATGACAACAGCCTAGTGATGTGAATACAAACAATTATAGAAATAAAACTTTGATAACAGAATGAAGATAGTGTTGGTGATTTTCCAGATTCATATCCAGACGTGATATATGCAACCATAGTTCTAAGTTTGCATCTGAACCTGTCCGTGGTGATTTTCCAGCACCTGTTATCCATCAAGATCAAGAACGATTTCAAGGTGGCCCTACATAAAAGGCACGGGATTTTTTCCTTCCTGTTCCTGACCTTTCCCTGGAAACTTTTGTTCTTAAAAGAGACTGGAGACCTGACCCCGTCGTCGTGGGCCCCCCCCCCCCCCCCCACCGCCAGTGCCTGCAGCTGCAATTGGCAGCAGCACTGTGGCCACACTGGAACTTTCCTGTGAGGCAGATTGCAGCTCTGGAATGTGCTTTGATGAGATGACAGCATGGAGAAGAGCCATGGGAGGCAGAGCACACAGCCTGGCAGAGGCTGTAGGGGCAGCCGAATGCCAGCATCCCGTGCCATGTGCCTCTGTGACCCAGAAGCACAGATGCGGCGAGAGCAGGTCTCACCCGACTCGATCTGCTCCTCCACCTGAGCAGCTGCACCTTGTTGCCCCTTTCCTTTCTGTTTGCCTCTGTCAAGCCGTCTACTCTGCCCTGCCTCCCAGCTGCTGCTGGACCCAGAGTGCTTGGTGCAGCCAGCTGGTGGTCTTGGTTGGCTCACCCTTGCTGTGCTGGCTTCTAGGCTGTGCGGTTCTCAATGACTTGAGTTGGCTCAGCCCCATCTCCACAGGAGCCTGGAGCAAATGGATCCTCCACTCTTTGCATGAACACCCTCCTTTCCGAGACAGAGATGGTGACGTATGAACTGGTACCATTGTTTCTTCCTGACCAGCTGACCCAGCACTGGTATTTTAGTGTTCTGACCCTTTACAGAAGAGAAGGACAGATACGAGGACATCTAGACAGGTGCTTGATTATAGAGTGAGAGTAGGCTAATGACCAGGTATTATAAATTGCACTGATACTTGTCAGCACCTTCAAAATAAGCTTGGTTGTGTTTTCTTTACTTCACTTGTCCCATTTAACCATAACTAAGCCCTCAGAGGTCAGGGACTATGACTCATCTGGCTTTGGTACAAGACCGTGAATACAGTAGACACCCAACAAGAATATGCTGATGGGAAAAAGCAGTGGCTGAGTGAACAGCTGAGGAGTCTAGGTGAGGCCCTGGGTGCCCCTTCTTTTTTTAGGACTAACCAGTCCGTAGAGTTGTTCTACAGGTGTTGATATTTGTCAAAGGAGAGTGACAAGGAGGCCAGTGGGTGGGAACTGCCAGCAATACTCTGCTTTAGGACAGAGGTGAAGTCTGGTCCACTCTAGTCAGATAGAGGGTGGGACACTTGGAACCGAGGTCCCTGAAGAGTGTTCATTCAGTGTAAGCAAGCAGTGAACCAGGACAAGATGGAGGGATCCTTAAGAAGGTGGCAAGGGAGGAGCCAGGGCAGCTCTTGAGTGAGGATATTTTTAAAGAAAATAAAGACTTGATACTGATTTAAGGGTTGAAAGCATTTATTACAACTAATATAGAACTCAAAGGTCAAGAAAAAAAATCATTGACAGATGATGAAAGTATTAAAATATGACATTTAATGAAATTCAATTACCTGAGCCCAACCTATAGTTTAAAGAAAACAGAAAAAGAGCGCTGAGCCCTCAGGGGAGGCTGCTAGGAGAGACTCTTCCTTTCTTCAGCAGTTCCAGTCTCGAGGCAGCTGTGAGAGGGTCTCGGCCACCCCTAGCCCATCACCTTGCTTCGCACAGCTCATGGCTGCCCTTCCTGTCTTTGGTGGGGAGTCCCAGTGTCGGTTTCCAAAGAGAGGGAGCAAGAGAAGAGGGCCAGACTGTGTGCGCAAGTTCGGACGTGGGAAGAGTGGAAAGGTGCCACGGTCTCCTTGAGGTTTACCACGTAGGCAGACTTTGGGGAACATCGGAGGTTTTTACTCTGCTCATTGAGACATCATCCTCGCTCCAGAAAAGGCGAGAATGAGGTATCCTAAAATCATAAACTTTGGGCATATATGGACAGAGGAAAGTGTCATTTTTCAGGGTAAACCATAAAAGCAATTTACTTTTAAGTTTCAAGTTTGAATTTCTTCCAGGTGCTTCCTAAGGATGAATGACCGGCCTCCATTTTATGGGTGGGTGGGAAGCTGAGGGACATACAGCCCAAGGAGCTGAGTAGCAGCGATGAAGCCATGCACTTACCTAAAAGTGCTCTTTAGGCCACGTGGCAGCTCTGACTCGTCTGTGCCTCTGCTTGGAGAGAGCATGCTCCATTAACATTTTGGTAAAGCCACCAAGTAGGCATGTTTGCACATATACATTGATATATGCCCCCTTATATGTAGACTACCTGGAAGTTTTTGTAAGGAGAGACTGATCCCAATCACTGCCTCTGAGAGGGAACTGGATGTCATGGGATGGGCTCCCTGAATGCCTGGTAGAACGTGAAGTGTGTGTGTGTGTGTGTGTGTGTGTGTGTGTGTGTGTGTGTGTGTGTGCGCGTGCGCACGTATTACCTTTTGTTTGTTTTATTGAGATGAAATTGACTTTAAGTTAGCCATTTTAAGGTATGTCATTCAGTGGTAGCACAGTCACAGTGTTGTACAGCCGCCAACTCTATCTAGTTTCAAAACATTGTCATCATGCCAGAGGAAACCCGGTACCCAGTGTGCACTCCCCCCATGAGCCCCTTTCCCAACCCGTGGCAACCCTAATCCATTTTCTGTCTCTATGTTATTTGCCTATTCAGGTGACCTTTTGTGTCTGGCATCTTTCACTTAGTACAGTGTTCTCAGGTTCACCCGTGCTGTAGTATTTCATTTCTTTTTATGGCTGAATAATATTCTGTTGTACAGATACATCAGATTTTGTTGATCCATCCTTCCATTTATGGACATTTGTGTTGTTCCCACTTTTTGACTAGTATAAATGATGCTGATATAAGCATCTGTGTAGAAGTTTTTCTGTGGATGTCTGTTCTCATTTCTTTTGTGTGTGTCCCCAGAAGTGCGATTGCTGGGTTATGTCGTAATTCTGGGTTTCACTTTGTGAGGAGCCACCATACTGTTTTCCATAGTGGCTGTGTAACTGAACTCAGGTCCAGCTGCTGTGGCCTGAAGGCCAAACTTGAAAGACAAACAAATTCTTCCAAGAGCCAGCAGTCTGAGGATGCAGCAGACTAATGTCTTGAAGACCATCTCCCCAAAGAGTTTTGGGCCTGGGTTTTTGTTGTTGTTGTTGTTGTTTTGTTTTCTTGAGTTGGATTCTCACTCTGTCGCCCAGACTGGAGTGCAGTGGCTGCTCCCGGCCACTGCAGCCTCAACCTGCTGGGCTCCAGCGATCCTTCCGCCTCAGCCTTCCAAGTAGCTGGAATGACAGGCACGCGCTACCACGCCCGGCTAATTTTTTGAATTATTGTAGAGATGAGGTCTCACCAAGTTGCCCAGGCGGGTCTCGAACCCGCGGGCTCAGGCAATCCACTCACCTCAGCCTCCCAAGGCACAGGATTACAGACTGAGCCACCGAGCCCGTCTGGGCCTGGGTTTTTAAAGGGATCGTGAAAGGAAGGAGCTAAAAAAATTGAAGCTGATTGGTGGGGTAAGGAGGATGAAATCTCAGGATATAGAAACTGTATTCTTAGATGAGTCAACTTCTTGTGAGGTCCTTTAGACCAGCTGACATCAGAATTTTTTTTGTCCCCTGCGCTGCCCTGCCCTGCCCTGACATCACAATTTTATGGGTACATAGAACCTGAAAGAATATCTTAAGTGGAAAACTTAATGTTTTATAATAGTCCAAGTTGTTATGGAATCGAGAGGTGACCAGTGGCCACAGTCATCTGGGCACCAGCAACATTCTGAGGAAACTGGGAAGTTTGCCCTTGACCAATCACGGTGCTCGTTTAAATCTTTAGCAAAATGTAGTTAGGATTCAGACTCCCCTTCTCCCCACAGTTAGTCTCGTCCGCTGCGTTATCTTTTCAGTGCTTCAAATTATTCTAGCCTATTTGTGAGTATGTACCATTTAAAATTTCTGCCAGCATAAGAGTTAGAATTTCTCCACATGCTGGCTCCAACACTTGCTATTTTCTTCTTGTAATAACAACCATCCGAACAGGTGTGAAGTGATATCTCATTGTGGATTTGATTCACATTTCCCAGATTACTAATAATGCTGAGCATCTTTTCATGTGCTTGTTGCTGTTTGCATATCTATATGGGGAACTGTCTATTCAAGTCTTCGACTCAATTTTATATTGTGTTGTATTTTTATCGAGTTATAAGAGTTTCTATATGTTCAGGACACTAGGCCCCTATCAGATTCATGATTTGCAAAAAATTCCTCCCACTCTGTAGGTCTTTTCACTTTCTTAATAGTGTCCTTGATGCATAAAAGTTTTAATTTTGATGACACCCAATTAATTTATCTATTTTTTTCTTTTGTTCCTTATGCTTTTGGTGTCATGTTTAAGAACTGTTGTCAAAGTCACAGTCATGAGGATTTAGCTCTTGGTTTTTGTTCGAGTTTTATTGCTTTAGTGCTTATATTAAGGTACTTGGTACGTTTTGAGTTAATTTGACTAGTGTTCATTGCAATTCCACCTTAATTTTTGGAATGGCATTTTCATTTCTACAAAAATGGCCACTGGTTTTGATAGGGATTACACTGAATCTGTACATAGTAGTATTGGCATTTAATAATACTAAATCTTTCAGTCCATGAAGACAGGATGCCTCTCCATTTATGGAAGTTTTCTGGATATGTAAGGATCTTACATATCCTTCGTTACATTTATTTCTGTTTTATTCTTTTGATGCTACTATAAACCAATTACTTTCTTAATTTTCTTTTCAGGTTGCTCATTGCTAATGTATAAAAATATAACTGATTTTTGTTTGGTATCTTGTATCCTGCAACTTTGCTGAATTCATGTATTAGCTGTAACAGATTTTTGTGGATTTTTCTATATATAAAATCAAGTCATTTGCTAGTAAAGGCAGTTTCACTACTTCATTTCCAGTTTGTCACCTACTTCCTTTTCTTTCCTAACTGCTGTAGCTAGAATTCTCAATAAAAGTTGAATAGAAGCAGCAAAAGTGGGGGTCCTTGTCCTGTTCCTGCTCTTAGGAGGAGGCTCTTATTCTTTCACTGTTTAGTGTACTGCTAGCTGTTAGCTTGTCCTAAATGCCCTACCCCAGGTTGAGGAAGTTCCCTTCTTTTCTTACTTTGGTTGACTGTTTTTATCATGAAATGGTGTTGGATTTTGTCAAATGCTTTTTCTCTACAGTATAATCAGACTTTTTAAACATTGTATACCATATGGTTAGGAATCAGA